TCTATCCACAATCAGCAAACGACATCGGAGGTTGCGCAGATGGATCTCACATACGTTGCAAAGGTATTATCAAAAAGAACATACATCCCCCGACGATGGGCCTCAGATATCATTGTGCGCCAGTCCTCGATCGTACCAAAGTGATGGTCCAGCAGAGTCAGGTCAAGCGGAGAGTATCCATCCGAAGCCCAGGGGAAGTTGATATACGGTGTTCCAGCGAGATAAACGCCCTGGATACGGTCAGTATATTCTTCACATCCAATCTTCCTAAAGCAACCGACGCACCTTGATCCCCATCCCCTGAAGATAATCAAACGTATCAACCAACCCAAGAACGTCGCCGCCATGGCGGAACTCGTTGGAGGTCAAGATATGTTCCCACTGTGTGCCATTTGCATTATCATTACTCGGATCACCATTTACAAATTTGTCGAGGAATATCGTGTAAAAGGGGAACCGCCAGTTCTCTGGCGAGGGGTTGTATGTGTGACCATCCCACTGACCCGAGTAGTCGAGGGGGTGTGTCGCCGTCTGATTTTGATTGAGATTCCAGTTTGCTTCCTCTGGAAGATATGGCAAGGATTGTGCAAAGCGTATAGATATTGCAACAATGGCAAGGTAACGCGTGATGGAAGTGAGCAACTTCATTCCGCACAGTAAATGCCACGATGGTGGCTTTCACAGAACAAGCTGTTCGAGCCTCGACTGCAAAAAGACAACCACAGAGTGCATACCAGGAAGAAAGGGGTAACTCTTAGAAGCAGAGACACTGAACGATTCATACAGCCCAGATGCGCAAGAGAAGCGTGTGAAAGATAATGAATACGTGGGGGCTGCCTAGGCCAATGCAATAATTGATTCTGAGCGCGAGAATACCAATCACTGTTTTGTAAATCAGCATAGACGCAGGCATCAGGCGAACCGCTGGAGACCCGAGCCAACCTCGCTGTACAGCCTCAAGCCACAGCAAAGCATCTCCATACTCACGCTAAGCGATTGAGCGGTTCTAAATTTGGATGATGGATCTCAAGCTGACATACACCGTAGTTGGTGCGCGCATTGCTCGGGCATCTAGACCAGGTTCCAGGCCCAAGCCGGATCATGTCTCATACAAATGGAGACAATTTGGCATGCATCGGTGTAGAACCTTCGGATATACAAGTGTCCCAAGGCGAGCCGTGCCTGAAGGAAACATCGATCATAAAATGTAAATTATGCCAGATAGGGTATCCAGCCTCATAGAAAATAGGACACGTCATACCTGATACAGGACAGACCTATGAGAAAGGGTGGGAGGTGGATATGATGATGATAAGGGTGCAGCTCGTAGTTGCATATCGATACTGTCTCGTATTGCTTTTTGCTTTTGTTCACGGCCACTCCGTCCCTACTGCTAGGGCTGTGGCAAGGCGTAGTTGATAGTCGGCTATTGATGCACTTTGTGCTTGACTTGGCTTGGTCGAACCTGCCAATGGTTTGCTGCCAAACCCGTTAAAGGCCAAAGGATAGGCCGAACTTCTCCTTATCTGACCCCACTGATGCTTTCTAGACCACATAGACCAAAGCCCAGCTGTCATATTTGGATCCCCACGTGTACTTGATCACGGAATCTAGTCGTGGAAAAGAAATTGCAATATCACGCAAGGGTTGTTGCAACTGTCCAAGAGATCGGGCCAGATTGCGATCAACCATGCGGCTCTTCGACTCCGAGGCCAGCACACCAAAGTAACATGGGCAATGATCGTCAACTAGGCTAGCAGAGCCCCAAGACGAGTCACTCGCGAACCCACCAGGATCTGCCCGTCTGCCGTCGGAAGCCATCAGTGCGCTCGATTGGGACGAGTCGTTCGAGTCGGGCTGCCGATCGGGCCGACAGAATACATGACAGATCATTATATGTAATATATGTATTACACGTACGGTACGATACACATCTGTACCTCACCGTAAATCATTTTCATCCAGCATATATGGCATTGTCAATTAATTTAAGTAGCCTTTTCATTGTCTCTGATTTCATCCGTCATTTGATCCTCCTTCGACCGGTCATGCAAACGCCACCGACAATGTGTTGGTGGAAGGTTTTGGTGGTTGCTGCCATTGGGACAGTACATGCGGCTTCCCGAGACCAATGGCTCGGTCGGTCAGTCTACCAAGTGGTCACCGATCGCTTCGCTCGATCGGATAACTCAACCACCGCTTCTTGTGATGCAGGACTAGGAGAGTATTGTGGTGGGAATTTACAGGGCATCATAAATAAGCTGGATTATATTCAAGAACTCGGGTTCGATGCAGTTTGGATCTCTCCAGTGCAAAGCCAGGAGTCAACTCGCACGGCGGATCTCTCAGGTATGGTCAACTTGACTGTCAGTGGATATAGAGAACTAACGATTGATGGATGATAGCATACCATGGGTATTGGCCAAATGACCTGTATTCCGTCAACTCCCATTTTGGCACTTCCGATGACCTCCAAGCGTTATCCGCAGCGTTGCATGCGCGCGGCATGGTGAGTCGCCGGCTGCCATATCTACTCACGAAAACTGACATGAAAAAATAGTACTTGATGCTGGACATTGTCGTTGGTGACATGGCCTGGGCTGGAAATGCCTCCACTATCGACTACAGCACGTTCAATCCATTCAATGATCAGAAGTATTTCCACGACTACAAGCTACTCTCTGAGGACCCCGCAAATGACACCTGTGTTCTGGATGTAAGTCTGTTATCGTGTGTTACGAGAGCAATGCTAAGCCTTCATCAGTGCTGGATGGGAGACAACACCATATCGCTTCCAGATCTGCGAAACGAGGATCAGGAAGTCCAGCAGATTCTGGGCAACTGGGTTTCGCAGTTGGTTTCGAACTACTCAAGTATGTCTATGCGTTTCTTATCTCTTCAACGGATTTAATAACAATTATCTTTTGTAGTTGATGGCTTGCGAATCGACAGTGTCTTGAACATCCCCCCCGTCTTCTTCTCCAATTTCAGCAAGTCAGCGGGCGTTTTCACTATGGGCGAAGGAGCCACAAGAGACGCATCCGGTTACTGTTCTCTGCAACCCAGTCTAAGCGGACTTTTAAATTATCCGTTGTGAGTAGCTCATCAAAATGAACAGAGGGCTTGTTGACACTTTTTAGATATTATATCCTCTCAGAGGCCTTCAACACGACCAATGGAGACCTGAACAGGATCGTACAGTCTATCGACCACATCAGGACACATTGCGAGGATGTACTCCCCTTGGGAACTTTCACATCGAATCAGGATGTCCCTCGCTTCGGCTCGTATACTTCAGACATCTCGGTAAGTTGAGTGCATTGAGTTTTTGTCAGCACGTATTGACTTTGTCACTCCTGATAGCTGGCCCGCAACATTCTCACAATCAGCATGCTCGCTGACGGTATCCCCATCCGTATGCTGCGCCCTCACAAATGGAAAAGAAAGCCAAAGATACTAATAAAAACAATACAGTCTACTACGGGGAAGAACAGCACCTGTCAGGTGGGTTCAACCCTGTCAACCGGGAGGCCCTATGGCTTACCAAATACTCAATGAACTCGACCTCCCTACCTTTGCTAGTCCAGTCTTTGAATCGCATTCGATCATATGCGAGCGGCGACGGAGAAAAGTCCACGGTCGCCCCGAAGTCAGGGAGCAACTATCTATCGTACCTCTCATTGCCAATCTACAACTCAACAAACATCTTGGCCATGCGCAAGGGGTTTACCGGTAACCAGGTTGTGAGCGTGGTGTCCAACCTGGGAGCCAAGCCAGCCACCAAAACCACCACCCAAATCACGCTTGGCTCCGATGGCACAGGATTTTCATCCGGAGAAAATGTAACCGAGCTCTTATCTTGCAAAACATTTGTGGCTGATTCAAGCGGAAATATCAATGTGGACCTCAGCTCGGATGGAGGGCCGCGGGTGTACTATCCTACTGAAAGCCTGAACCGAAGCACTAATATTTGTGGAAATCACACCCAAACATCGACAGTCTCGTCAGCAAGTCCAAACACTTCCACCGGCGCTGGGATTTCTTTATTCGGTTTGTCGTGTGAGATAAGGACATTGATAGTCACGGCTGCATTGACCACGTCCTACATTTCCATTTAATTCTCTAGACCGCCATGTTTCCTGTACTCCGAATTAGTGTTCGATTTTATTTGTTGACGTTCTTTTCGATGCTTTCTGCAGTGGTTTTACTATAGACGAGATATTCCGTACATTTAATTATATTGCTTTCATATTACATCTCGTGAATTACAACGGAAAATAGGAGATATGTTGAGTCACTAGAGACTCTGTACTTGGAGCAGAATTCCGACAGTCGTTTTTGACTATTGGGCACAACGCAGTATGGCGGCATACAGACCTAGCTCATGTGGTGAATGTTACCAGTCATGACCGGTATTCATTCACGGCTGTAAGTAACAATACAATATAACGACAATAGCTTTCTTAGAAAATTATGATAACCTCGATTTTCGGGCCCTGTCGGTGTACTTCGTATTTACTGCACTTCTCAACGCTAGCCTAGCGCTGACATGATTGTAGCCATTATTTAGAAGTTAATTCTTTATCAGCAGGGACCACAGGTCACAATGCGTTTTGGAACTTGATTGGAAAGATAAGGTGCAATGCTCACTTTGATGGACCCAACACTGCAGGGCGGGTCGCTCATGCAGAGGTGATCCTAGCAGTGCCCGTTCGTTGTTACCCTACGTGGACACCGGAATGACCCCTGAATTCCTTTCAGTCTCTCCACAAGAGGCTCAGCTCACGTTAGAGATCATATTCTGCTTCTGCGCAAGGCTTAGACTATCTCGTATTCTCAATGCGCTCGGCTTCAGCCGAAAGATACTGATTTCTGTATATAGATCTTTCAACAATCTAGTTCCCAGTCTATCGACCAAATATATATAGTCTTTTCCTGGGAAATAGTGGGACATTCCCCCAGCACACTCTCTAGTAATTCCATAATTCCATTCAATCAAAATGCGTTACTCATTCACCATCACCGCCCTGAGCCTCCTCTCATCGGCTTTTGCAATCACCGTCACCACTCCGTCATCAAACACGGCGTGGGATTTCTCCACTGCCAAAACTATCAAATTTACTAGCGATTCTAGTGATCCTTCAGTAATCAGCATCATCCTTCGAAGTAAGGATGGCTCCTTCCAGACAAAATTGGCGGATAACGTCAAGACGTCTGACGGCGAATACACGACCCAGCCTAACCCTAGCATTTCCAACGGGTATGTAGAAGATAGAGTTGGGTGAATAGAAAAGAACAACACTAATACCACTCTGTCATGGCTTAGAAATGACTACGAGATCCAGATAATTGATTCTGCCGGCCAGCTCGCCGTCAGTGACATTTTTACTGTCGAGAAGGGCGCTTCGGACGATGGTACTACAACTTCCTCTTCTTCCACCTCCTCTTCTTCCACCACCACCACCTCCTCCTCCACTTCTTCTTCCGCGACATCCAGTGCGACCACTTCTACATCGGTCACCTCCACCCTTACATCCTCGGCGTCTTCAACACCCACATCGTCGACTAGTCCTTTGTCTTCCTCAGGCATGATGCAACTCCGCACAATGTTACAAGGCGATTATACTAATACACCTTTTTTATCGCAGGCTCCACCACTTCCTCCTCCTCTTCTACCTCTTCTTCCACGACCACGTCTTCCACCTCTTCCGACAATTCATCCACCAGTGCCTCCGCCTCCCCTCTGCACTCGACTGGTGCTGCGTCGTCTCAGTTGAGCGCTCCCAAGGGAGCCATGGCTCTGCTCGGTGCTGCTTTCGCGCTCTTCTACGTCTAGATCATGTCCATCAGGCAGTATTGTGCCTGAAGCGTGTATACAATCGCCTTTCGAAATAAGTAGAATCAAGGAAAATATGCTCATTACTCTTTTGAATTCTCTTATTTTTGAAAGCTTGTGTCGGGGTGGAGCGAAAGCGTATAGACTAGTACGACACTGATTTTGAGAGCGTTATATCTATATGCTAAATCGAGTTGAGCGATCCTGCTAGTTCACAGAGGCTCGTTGTATGGCCCGGAGGGACGCTTACGTCCAAATTGTATACAAAAATAGACGACACCTTACCTAGCTTACTCAGCTCTGTGAGCTCCACCTCGTAGGTCATGTGTCTCGGTGCTCCGGCGACTGCGGCATACCGCAGGACATGCCGAACTCATGAAGTATATACCGTACCAACAACTATGGATTGGAAACATGGTCAGATTGCAGCAAAAAGGACTTGATCTATGATTGATATCCAAATTCAAATATCGTTATCGTATCGAGGTCGGCTGCGATAAGATACGATGCGATTCTATCGTACGATCCGTCCGATGCTGCCGCAGTCTAGTGACGGATGATGCCGGTGATAGCGCGGCCGACCGTACCCCATTATAATAATTTATGAACTTCGAACCCCTGTAACTACCTCCTAACATTGTGGGATGGACGTCAAACTTAGGGAAACGAAAAACTAATGGCTAACCTTAAACCTACGAATTTCTGGACATGGTCTCTTCGGCGGATGCGATTTTAATGCAATCGCAGTTACATTGCGATGCAATCAAATGGGAAACCCTAACCTATACTAACGGCTGCTGACTAAAATGCAATGCATTACAGTTCAATTACCCCCACGGGATAGGTCCACGATCGGTAGCGGCGAGTAGGACCTGACAAGCTCAACTTGTAACGTTAAATGGCAATTCACACTCAATCAGACTCTGGGAACCCTTGCCACCGCTCCAAATCTTATTGATCGTAAGGCCTGCCCTCGTTTCAATGAGGTTATACCAAGCTGTACGGGTGCGTTCCTGAGCAGACATAAGTGTCAGCATGACCATGTCGAGTGCCGTGGCTTCCCAGTAGGCAGCTGTCTCCGGTATCACATGCTCATGAATCAATAGCCTGCTGTATCCGCGTTTCATGGCAGCCTTAACTTGCGCAAGAATGCTTTCACATACTTCGTCTGGCCAGTCATGCAAACAATTGTGTAAATAATAGGCTCGGGCGCCTGGTAGTGTAAGTATGTATTTTCGCCTCCAGAAGAACTGTTTGTGGTGCCATATCGGCCTTACCTTTGACGGGCTGTTTTGTATGGAAGTCGTACTCCATACGGAGAATAGACGGTTCTAGATCCTGGATTTGACCTATGACCACGGGTAGATCTTGAAGGATCAGCTTCCCTGGGACCTCGGGGTGAAATTTGTGAAACAGCTTTAGGTCATGACCCACGTTTCCGCCAATATCGACTAGAAATGGAGCCTCTGGATCCGTATCAGCGCCGTCGATCAGCCTCTCTTTCACTGAGTAGAAGCTAGGAGCCATCCAAGGCAAAGAGCCAAGGGCGTAGCCGCTCATGTGGTCACTAAAGTGTGAACCATAACCCAGAGATTGTTGCCACGTAAAGGTATCCATCGCCGTTCCATAGGCGTACATCATTGCCGTGTCTTTCGCGTCGGTGGGATTCACCCAACCTCGCTTTCGGGAGAACTCGTGGAATCTCATAGGACCGGCACTTGTGCAGGAGAGTCTGGGGATGTGAGCAGCTAACCAAGAAAAAACTCGGGCTGAGAGACTGTGCTTACACAGCGAGGTAGCTATTGCCAATCGCTGGAATGCTCATCGCCTTCATAAAATTCGTCAACCTGTATTCGTCCACACCAATCTCGATGAGATACCCAACGGCGCTGAGATGTCGCATTAGTCGACCTCATAGGGCGTTAGCTAGCCTGACCAAATGGGCCAACGTGGAACATACTCAGAAGTACATGATCGATCCCAAGCTTCTCTGCCAACTCGCCCACTTTTTGTGGCTTGTCACCATTTTGCGCCATGAGCTCCCACAAACCCGAGTCCACACCAAAGTTCAGGCCAGCCATTGCACCGGTCTATCTGCCAGTTAATCTCGTTGGGTTTACAAGGCACTAACGGCGGAGTACTTGCATGTGCCCAACAGTGATAGAGCATGGTCTCCCGGGGAGTTTCCAGAGCTTGAACCAAGGTGCGACATTTGGCAAGCAAGTCTTCTCGTCCTGCATTGCTGATAGTAAAGGCATCGAAAGCTTGTGTTATCTCCTTTAGCAGCGTGGGAATCGCTTCGATGTCATTCGGCTCGGTAGCGATGGAGACATCGACATGGGACTGGCCTTGCTCTGTTCGTTGGGCTGGCATATTGCTCACAACCAAGCATGGAGACCTGGGCGAACTGGGAAGCAATGTGATATACAGACCTTGTGTTGATGATTCGACTATTCTGGACAGGCCATGACACATGCAACAGGGATTTTAGCTCTGTTCCCTGCCCCGTCAAGAGTAGACATTAGGTCATGTGGTTACACAAAGGAGGAGGTTAGTTGCTGCAGCTTCTACCTTTGGCTCGAAGTCAAAATTGGATTGGCCATGCATCGTTACCGATTAGGAATAGTGTTGAACGCTATCGGGCGATGAACATCTGAGCTGTACGATCGCCATGCAGTATGTAGCTGCGACCTGAATATCACCATAAGTTGAGGAAGGTTTGTGGGTCGACGAGATGCCATAAAGTTTGATGTGCTCATTTGGTCGGCTAGTGGACCACGTCACAGCCACTGTAAAAGTCGGTGAAGGCCACTGCATCCAAATTGCCTGGCCGGGTCTTTTGGTCATGCGAAGCCGAGTCAGAATTGCCACAAGAATTAGGTACATACCGTGAACGATAGTCGGCCTTGGCATACCTACCTAGCTCCACTTCTGCCTTCCAGGGTTGCTTAGCTTCCATGGTTTCTCCACCTCTCAAATCTAGCGTTGCCATTTCTCCACCCCATACAATTCATGCCAGATTTCAGCGTTCTTCGCGCCAGATTTGCAACATCAAACATGAGTATGCTCGCACAATCAGGCTTACTGTTTCCTCATTGACATCCCTCGCAATTCAAACCATCAGTGCTATCTAGTGAGTCGTAACATAGCTCTCCAAGCGCCAGGATACGAGAACTTGGAAGGTTCTAGGCTAATGAAGTCTGCGCTGCAGGAAAATTGGTTTTATGCCTGCTAACAAGGTTGAGGCCATTTAGGGATAGCCTCGAGCAGCCGATGATATTGATTGAAAGTAAACAAATAGAGTTCCGACCATTTTTAAGGCCTCGTGAATGAGGTGCTTTGTGATTTTGGTGCAGTTACGCTTTGACGACCCTAGCACGGTTACTATTCCCGCGCAGATCTAAGAGCCATGGAAAATATAGACTGCAGAAAAGTAACTACGACAGGACAGCCAAGTAGCGGGGGCTGCAATTACAGATAGACGAGAAAGCAATCACATCCCCATCTCACTGGTAAGGATTAAGCATTCCCATGCTGACTCATGTTACTCGTGCAGACAGTTGAAGGTAGTGTAGATACGACCATCTCAATAATACTTAACCCGCGATAGTTTCTTCTTCCTCAACCGTCCGCACCCAGGAACTCACCGATAGAATGATCTTGCACAGGTATTTTCACCTAGCATCAACCCAACAACGGCATGTCCTGAGAAATCCAGCCAAGGACAAATTGCACAACTTGCCTTGGGGCAGTCGTCTTTTCATGCGTTCGATTTCATCTCCTGGCTGGAGGCAGTTGGACATCGCTGTTGTCGGCGGCGGGATAGGGGGAATGTCCGCGGCGACCGCTCTGCGCCGTGCCGGCCACAAGGTGTCTATTTACGAACGTGCCGATTTTATCGGTCTTGCCGGTGCTTCTATTTCGTGTGCCGCAAACGGTACACGCTGGTTGCACGAATGGGGTGTAGACCTCGCTAAAGGCGATGGGGTCATTTTACAAAAGCTCATCAGCCGCGATTGGACGACGGGCAAGATCCTGACTGAGTACGAGCTGGATGACTATGAAGAACGATGGGGATATGTGTACTACATGTTTCAGCGGCAGTGTATGCACACAATGTTGAAGATTTCAGCATTGGGGGAGGGAGAGGGGGTGCCGGCCAAACTCTTCTTGAATCACAAGGTAATATGTCAAGTCACTATGAGCATCTACTTGCCCCAGTCCCTTCCGCAGCGTATCTAATAATCCATATCAGTGCAAGAACATCGATCTCAACACCGGTTTAATTGAGTTTGAGAATGGATCGTCAGTCAACCATGATCTCATTGTCGGCGCGGATGGCATTGGATCTGCCGTTCGTGGTGTTCTCGGTATCTGGCCTGAGAGGCGACCTGCCGAGTCTAGCTGCCTACATGCAAACGTTGTTACTGAAGAGGCGATCGCCGCTGGTCTTCCTGACTTCTCTCAAGATAACGCCCTGCAGTTCTGGGGTGGTCATGGGGAGATCTGGGACAAGATCGTTCTCTCTCCATGCCGAGGGGGCAAGCTGCTGTCATATTATTGCTTTTTCCCGAGGGAGAAAGGAGACTACATGGATCATTGCTGGGGGGAACCTGACCGACCAGTGGAAGAATTGCTTGCGCCGTATCCTCAACTCGATGCGCAAGTCCGCGGGCATTTGGCCCTTGGAAAGGAAATCCAGCCATGGCGTTTATGGATGCAGTGAGTTGAGCCCAACACATAAATTGGCAATGAATTAATAAACTCTATTCTCCACAGCGACCCGTATCCATATATTGCAAGAAACATGGTCTGTCTGCTAGGTGATGCAGCTCACCCAGTACGTCACACTGTTACATCACTCGGGGTCAAACATTGAAACTAACAAACATTCAGATGATGCCTCACCAAAGCCAAGCCGCCTGTATGGCAATCGAAGATGCAGCCGCCTTAGGCATTCTTTTTAGCAAGAAAATATTCACGGGAGATATATTCGAGTCTCTATCTACTTATGAGTCGGTTCGTCTGCCCAGAGCAACCAAAGTTCAGGCAGCGGCGGCACGAGCCTCGCAGAATATCAATGAGAGAATTGGTGAGTTACAAGTACTTCATGTTCTCCTGATGTATTCCCACTAACGTCTTCGCAGGCTTCTCTAGCAATATTGACAATCCAGTTTACGTAGTGAAGAGCGAGCAGGGGAAATTGACAATCGAAGAGATGAATGCGTGAGTCTCCAATCCAGTCAAACTGGTCTAGTCTGATTAGTGGCAGCTACGATATGCACATGCACATTGATGAGGTGGTCTGCAGACGTACCGGGGAAGCGTATCCTCACAAGTATACCCGGGGTCTGCCAATAGGGCTACGGCTATCAAACGGATATACTGTTGGAGCTGAAGATTGGTCTTATGACTAGAGTATCCTCGATGCGAGCTAAGCTCAGCATGTTACTACACAACGTTGAACTGTTCACCGTATTAAATATAGATTCGTATCCCGCACTACGTTTCCATGTAGAAAGGTGTATGTCCGAACGTAGCGGGGATGTAAATACGAGGGGACATGCAGTATAATACGAATGCATGCGACTACGTAGGGACCTGAAGTAAGCAGCATGAGAGGAGGCAATCATGGAGCTATGCAGCCTCGGTGAAAAGGCCTGTAGTTCTATCGGAGACGGTCTAGGCGACTGAGATCTCAGGGTAAAGCCTGTGGCTTGCAGAACCCCTCTGCTTCGTTGTGTCTGATGTGCTATCACCACCTTCCAGTTCAGTCATGATCCACTTCCCATAGAGAGCAGATTGCACCTGCCCAGGTGGTCATACCTCTCCTCTGTCCCTCCACACTCTCTCCCTGACTGTGTCTCCCTGGACATGTCTTCCTACGTCTATCATGACTCTGGGTGGGTTCGACACGGCTATCTTTCCGCGATGTTTGGGCTTGTTATACTCCTCACTTTCAAGCAACGCGTGCTGTGCATATATTGGAAACCAAATGAGATGTCTGAAAAGATATAGGTCACTTCTGCACGAATCTAAGTAAAGTTTCGGTGGATTCATACGTTTTCTCGCTCAAGCCTACATCAAATGCAGTTGGCATCACAATTGGGCTTTTTCGGGTATCCACTGTCGCTTTGCCTCCATCCCAATTTCGATTCGGCGTAGTCCTCCGATCAGATCCTTCCGAGGTAGAGCAAAAGTGATTCTGAACCAGCCCGGTTCTCCGCTGTTGAACCTGGAGCCGGCACCAACGGCCACACCTGCTGCAGCAAGTTTTTCAAATAGCTCTGCGTCTGTCTCCTTTGTTGCTAGCTCGCCCCCAATCCGCGCCCACATGACGCAACCCGCAACCGGTGAATAGAACACAATCTGATGGAATGACAGGAAATCTTCTACCATCTCCGCTGCTTTGCGCAGGCGAGGTTTGTTGTGGTCCAGTACAGTTTCAACCGTCTGCAGATTTGAAAAGAGAGAAGCAACAGCTATCGATGCCATATTACACACCTTGAATCTGTTGAGGACCGCTAGTGCGTGGCGAAGCCCGGGATTTGACTGCGTAATGATATAGCCCTGCGGATGCGTCAGCGTTGGTCTGCACGTGCATACTCATTGAATATTCCGACAAACCATTCGAAGCCCGCTGCTACCCAAATCCTTGCTGATACTGTAAGCTACATGGACACGAGCAGGGTCGACGCCAAGTCGCTTCAGGTCCATCGACAATACGGACGTGAACTTCGTTTCTAGCCCGATCACTGTATCGGGATTGGCATATTGACCGCATCTAGTCGCCCCAAAGGTCGAAAGAGCGTATATCTCGTCCGAGATAAAGTGGATGTTGTGAGCTTCGCAGAATTGAAGCAGCGCCTCTAACCACAGAGTAGGATAAATCTGACCAAGAGGGTTGTGGGGATTGCAAACGATGAGGCCCCTAATGGGACACGTTGCCATTTTCATCGCTTCGCTGTAGTGCTGTATAAGATCTGCTGCACTTGTTGGTCGTCTCGAGTATCTCACGGGAACTATGCGGACGTTGTTTCTCAGCGTTGACGTGACAGCAAACCCATCCCACATGGGTGTTTCCAGTAGTATACCATCCCCAGTATCGCAAATCGAAAATATAAGGGTCTCAATAACCGATGAACATCCTGTGCTTGTCACGATGTGCTCGGGTAAAATGGCAACTTGAGGAGAGAAGAAGCGATTGAAAAATGATGCCGATACATGCAAAAGGCCTGGAGGTCCACCCAGCTCTTGGGAATATGAGAGATCCTGCTGTTTCAGGTCAAATGATATTGCATCTTTGATCAAAGGAAGTAAGTCTGGTCGGATAAGCCAATTCTCCGCCATGTCCATTTCCAGTACGCCCTTTGGAGGATTTGGCTCGGCGGAGGCATGGTCTGAGAGCCAGGATAGACTTCGCTTGATGCGGCCTGAGAGCATCATTGACGGAGAGCAACTGATGGAAAAAGGGCTTACGTGCGGGGATGCAACGCGCATGACCTTCCATTTAACTAACAGATTGGTCTGGTTTATGTCTTCAGTATCAGCAGCAATAAAATCGGTCGTTTGTGGCTCAACTCACCGCTGTTTCGCTGTGAAGCTCCATGCAGGAAGGGAAGTATGCAAGTCAACAATAGAACAGGATACCTGATCAATCGATTCTAATCACCTGCCATGTCCTCACAGAGTTCGCTAGATGTAATTGAATTGCTTTAAGTTTGATCGTGGCTGCGCTCAGAGCATGGATATAGGCTGGTTCCATAACGTGTCTTTTCCATCTCCGCCAGAGATCGAAAGCCCGCTATTACTCGGGGAACGACTGCGCAGGAAACGAATGCGAGAAGTTGAGGAAAGGAAGAACTACTGCGGGGAGGAGTGCTATAGCTCGTATCTCGCCCTAGCTACCGGCAGGTCCCGCTAGACCAACACTAGTGAAACTCTCCTCCGCCAGTCCTCGGCAATGTTTACCGCATGAAATGGTTCAAAATTGTCTCGTATTACAGTCCGGTTACTGACCCTACTTGTGCATATGCATGGGGTGCAGGTGGGAGAAGAGCTCTCCGATTCTCCTTGGCAGCAACAATGTTCTCCCGTTCTGCACCTAGATCATCCTTTTTAAGTCATGGCGAGCGATCATCACTACAGATTGGTCAGTCGTGCTGACCTTGACTCAGTCTAAATCTTGTGTAAAACGTGCACTGAGAGATGCAGATGCGAACTCTGGCATCCACACATCTCGTGTGCAGAACTGTAGAGGGAAATAACCTGCATCATGTTGGGGTCTTGCCTTTTACACAATTGTGAGTTGCTGAGTGAGCTGATAACGAGGCGAAAACCTATGGATGCAGGAATGATATAGTCTTATCCTGCCCTACCTATACCTTATTTAATGGCAAGTCCCGACTTACAAAGAGGGGTGGAAGAGCAGTGATATTCCACATTTCACCATCTAGATTTACCACTATTACCACTGAAGATGCTTTTGGAGTCTCTGGACAGGCAACAGCCACTGGCTGTGCTGATTTTGGGAGTCACCACACTTCTCGTTTACCACCTCTACCGCACGTACTCGCGACTGCAGCACATTCCCGGCCCCCTCATCGCAAAATTCACTAACTTCCATCGCTTTCTCCTCGCGCGTCGTGGCCGCCTCCACCTATACCAAGACCGCGCTCACCAAAGATATGGCCCCGCCGTTCGTTTCGGGCCCAACCTAGTATGCATTTGTGACCCGGAGGCCATTCAAACAATTTTCAACCTGCGGGGTGGATTTCCCAAGGTCTGCCAGCCCCATCTCTATGGAATAGTCTCTCTCCATGTTGATGGATGCTAACATCGTCCCACCGATGCAGAGCAATATGTACCGCGCCTTCCGACCCTGGACCACTGATGGCCTGCTCCTCTCCGTCTTCACCGCAGAAGACGACGCGACAAATCGAGATATGAAGCAACACATCTCTGTGTATTATTCGCTCTCGTACGCTGTATCCTCTTTTGAGCCAAGAATGGATAGTGCTTCGCGAATGTTCTTTGACGAGCTTGATCGCCGGTTTGTGCCCACGGGAGCACAGTTCGACGTGACACAGTGGATGAAATTTCTATCCTACGATACCATGGGCTTGATGACATTCTCCCGGCCATATGGCTATGTTCAGCATGGGAGAGACTTACACGGCATCATGGACGACGTGAAGAGGGCAAACCTGAGTATCGGACCCGTAAGTTATACATGACGGAGGACTTTTACATGGAGCAAGGCTCAATTATTTGCAGATGACGCAGATACCATGGCTCGATTGGCTCTTGCATAAGAACTGGGTAGCAAATCTCTTCAAACGCGAATCCATTGCCCCTCTGCTGGACTACGTCTTGGCGCGTATTTCAGAGCGTCGGGAAGAACGTCGGAAAAATCCCAAATCGCCCTCCAATGCAAATATCGACGGACCCATTGTCGACGGTGACTTCCTCGGGTATTATCTCAATGCCCAGGAGAGAAAGGATAACGTGCCACTTCGATTTGTGTCAACCTGGACTTTTGCCAATATTCTTGGAGGGGCCGACTCCACGGCTTCCATGCTCCGATCTGTGGTCTGTTTCCTAGTAGAACACCCTGACGCACTGGAAACGGTACGGGCCGAGCTGCGGGATAAGCAACGCACTGCCACCGGGCTCACTCTACCTTTCCCACAATGGCATGAGCTGCAGAACCTCCCCTTCCTAGACGCCTGTATTAAAGAGTCACTCCGGCTTGATTCTCCATTCTCTATGCCTCTTGAACGAGTCGTTCCAGCGGAGGGAGCCACAATCTGTGGTCACTTTTACCCTGGAGGCACCGTGGTTGGCATGAGTCCATATATTACTAACCGCTATAAGCCGACATGGGGTGATGATGCGGATCAGTGGCGTCCCCGTCGCTGGTTGGAAGGCGAGCCGTCGCATATCAGAAAGCTTGAGGCCAGCCTGCTTAGTGTAAGTCAAGTTTAGCCGACTTCCCTGGTACGTTCAATGTCTGATTGTACCAGTTCGGGGCCGGGACACGAGGTTGTCTGGGCCAGCACGTCGCCCTTTTTGAAATCAAGAAGTTTGTCACAGCGCTCTTCATGAACTACGATGTGAGTACTTGAGCATAAAGTCAATGATCTATACTTACCGCTTAGATCGATCTTGTCGAGCCTCGAGCGGAGTCCAATCCGTACTACTGGGTCGTATACCCAGAGAGCGTGCAGGCGACGGTTAGAAAACGCGAGTTCAAACAGTAGGTAGGACATATCCCAGAGAAGAACTACAGACACTGGACTCCTTGGTGCTTTATTGGTCCTGAATTGAATAGACATTACGCCATGGAACTGATGCACTGTGAACTCAAGGCTGTAGAAGAATTCGAACATTGAATATCATTGTTGGTTTTCTGTGAGCTTGCAAGGTTCAAATATTGGGATCATGAATCATCGTCAACATAACGTAGCTCATATCCACATATTGTAAGATTTTCTAGAGACAGGCCTCCGAAGGCAGCGCCCTCGCGAAGGTAACAATGAGGCCATCAGCCACTAGCTACATTATGGCTAAATCTGGATCCATAATTCTCCCTCAGCGAGCCCCCGAAGCGATTAAAAATAATCGGCATGCCTAGCAATGCTAGTGTTATAAACCCAAGCAATGAATTTCCCCAGCCATAGCCAAGTGTCTGGTACATGGTGGGTCCCGCAAGTGGCAATAGCGCGCCAAAAAGGGACCGAGAGACGGTTATCGCTGCTATGCCCGACGCCGCATACCGCGGATACGAGTCAATGATATATGTCTGCAATGTCGCAAAAAGCCCAACCAGGCCAAAGGCAAAGGGGAAGAGACCGACAATGGGCACGATCCAGTGCGTTTTTGTCTGTATTGACCAGCCATACCAGAAGAATGACACTGGAACGGAGCAGGCGAAGAAAATGCAAAGTGGTAGCCGCATTTCCGGCTCAACCACACCTTTGTTGTGGGCTTTGAGTCGAACGATGGCTCTATCACTCAGTAAGCCGAAAACGAGTTGTCCAGCCAGGAACCCAACCCCAAGGCCAAGGTAGGCCAGTCCACTAATCTGGATGCTCCAGTTATAGGTATCTTTGAAGGCGGTTGTGATAGTTGTTAAAAGAAGATAGAGGCAACCATAGACTGTCGCGATATAGAGCGCAATGATCGACACTATGGGAGACAGAACCAAAAGCTGAAATGGAGTCGTTAGACCCATGCAAAAATTCGATCCCTTTGGATTTTCGACTCCCAGTGTCGCGCTTTTTCTCGTAGTAGCTGCGAAGGTCTGAACGTCCCAAGTCCTTTCGCAGGAGCACCGTCTTATGACGTATGATAATAACCGGATTCGTCTCGCGGTTAAATATCAAAACGAAGAGAATAAATGAGCCACCTGCGATTACAAGAACCCAGAAAACCTATTTCGCGTTGGTGAGTTAAAATTCGTATGTAGATTGAGCTGAAGTGTTCTTACTAACCCATCTCCATCCAGCTCTCTGTGCAATAAATCCGCCACAAATAGGCCCAAGGACGGGCCCAAACAGAGGCCCAGCGCTGAATATAGACATTGCCATACCACGTTGTTCTGGCTCAAATAAGTCTGATACAACGCCGCCCCCGATAGTTAAGCATGCCGAGCCTCCTATTCCAGTAAGAACCCTAAAGACTATCAACGCGGAGAGGTTGGGTGCAAGTGCACATCCAATCTGGAATAGGACGAAGAAGGACGTTGAAATGTTGAGAATTATTCTCCGTCCATACATTTCGCTTAACGGCGACAGAAACAATGGGCCAAACTGCATGTTTTGTCAGGCCACCATATAATAGGTTGAGATCCAAGGTTTTGCTTACACTGTAGCCAAACAAATAGGAAGTCACTGCAAGGGAGCTCAGAATAGACGATGTGTTGTGGAAAGTTCGATCCGCATCTGCAACAGCCGGCGCAAAAACGGAGGAGGCAAACGGACTGAGGTAATAAAAATGGACTCATCAGGTCTCTGCATTCTCTCAATATCAAGAGAATTCAAATTGTACCCACCTGATCAAAGTGATCATGCTGACGAGCGCAAGAAGAAACCATTTCCGAGTGACAGGGTAATTTCTGGTGAAGCGATAACATTAGCAATGAGATCATGGGTCAAAGAAGCATCTTCATCCACTTACTTCGGGTTCATAGGGTCTTGTTGATCTTCCCAGCCCACGATCCCTTGATCCAGGTCTGTGATAGGGTGTTTTTCTCGCTTTGCGACACTGGGCACCTGGGTAATCTGTTAGCACAGAGCTTCCCTTCAGTGGGGGCAAATCTCTCACATTTTCTACCTTTTCCTCATCTCCCTCTGCCATTATGATAAGGCAGGATGGTGACGGCGTGGTCGAAGCCGAATGTATCTAATCAATAGAGAACAACCACAAAAAATGGGAAAATATTTAGACGTGGAAAACCACGAAATGGTGAGATGAATTGGATTAAACTGGTTTTCAATCACCTTTATAGCGACTGCTACGCATTTTATTCCTGGCAGCGGACACACTCAAAAAATCACATAGTTCGGGACTTCGGGGCCGGGAAGTCGCGATGTTGGGGTTAGCGCCATTCTGGAACAGGTAAAGATTTCTAGAAATCCGAGGCTAACCTAGATGTCGGAACTTTCATCGGAACTTTCACACCAATCAGGATCAAGACGGACTTTTCCCTTATCTCCGGCATACTCCAACTACCCAAAATCGACGGCGCCTGGGGGGTATTTATACCTATAGTATGGCCCAGCAGCTCAAAAAAAAAAGACAATCGCTAACATACCGCGTTTTCTTTTCTGTCGATATCCCCCAATCCTGATCTTTGTGCGACGCAATGGCAAGCCAAGCATGCTGTAATATTCCTCCGAAGGGAGAGCCAGCCGTTCTATCTGAAGATCAAATTGATCAAGTGGCAGGAATCAATCTCTGTAAGTACACGTTCTTTCTAGCATAACCGAAACTGTTGACTAATCATTCGAATTTAGACGTTTTTGGTGATCGGAATGCCAAGCGAGGCGTGGTGCTTGTTTATGACATATTTGGACTCTATCAACAGACCAAGCAAGGAGCTGCGCTTCTTGCAAAGGAACTGGACTGTCTGGTTATTATCCCTGACTTTTTCAATGGAGAAGGAGCGAACTTAGAGTGGATAGGAATGGACACTCCCGAAAAAAAGAGCAAAATGATGGGATTCTTTGCAGAGAAGGCAAGTCCTGAAAAGAATCTGGCCACCCTCCTCTCAGTCACGGAGGAAGCCAAGAACCTCTATACCAGCATTGAAAACTGGGCCGTTTTCGGACTATGCTGGGGTGGAAAGGTATAAGTCTTCCCTTAATACTACCGCGAGATGGACGAGTGTATTAACTCAGGCATCTACTACCTAGCTTGCTGCATTGGCTTCCACTGGTCAGACCCCGTTTGTTGCCTCTGGTCAATCCCATCCTGCGTACGTGCCATGGTATTGTTGTGTTTAAATCTACCTATCGCTGACTTGCTCCTAGATTTCTCGACGTAGCAGACGCCAAAGGGATGACCATCCCGCACATTTGCCTGGTTTCTCCCGATGAGCCTGCAGACATTTTAAAACCGTATGAGGAAGCCCTGCCTCCCCACTCCGAATTTGAGCTATATGGTACGATGTTCCACGGATGGATGGGCGCACGAGCAAACCTGGAAAGCGAGGAGAATGTTCGAGAATTCAACAGAGGGTGAGTAGTAGCAAATGATAGGCTATACTCCTTTCTAACAATTTACAGATATAAGCAAGTCGCTACCTTTTTCAATCACTGGTTATGAGATACCCTGTCTTCAATACACGCGTCAATCGAGTTCGATTTCTGTTGATAGGTTCTTCAAGATAGGACTGAGATGATTGAACGAAGTGGATATCTGTCTATCAACCAGATGATACAAAAGGCTTGCATTTAGACTTTTGGAACTTGTGGAGGATTTTGCTCTTTCGACTTTTCTTTTTTGTAGTCAACTTAGATTCACAATGGAAAACAAGGCTGATCAAGAGAATGCTTATAATAATATCCCAAGCATCTACCGAGGTGCTTCTTTTTCCGCGCAGAATAGTTCATTCAATAACTAGTTGTTCAAGATATATACATACTGCACTTACTATTGTAATCCAGAACCAGGAAATCACCATAAACTTCCAAGTTGATGCCACGTCTAGTGTTAATCTATGGAAAGGGAGGTCATTGCTTTGGGTCCTATTCTAAGGATTACAAGAATCATGAAAACAATAACACATTTTGGAAGGATATAGCTAAACCAAAGGCGATTTCTAGGAACCAAATCTTTGATCACTTGCTGGAGACAGTTTGATGCTTTTTGTGGGGTTTATATGGGATCTTTATGGATCGCCCTCCCCTTCCCGACAGCTTCTCGGACTTAGCGGAAACAAGCACTCACCGTCAATCTTCTTCTTTCTCCTCAGCCAAAAGTATCATCACTCCAGTCGACAAGCAAATCTCGGTTATGGCGGCTGAATGGCCTACAAAAAAAGCGTTTTCCGGTGATTCCACTGGCGACCGGATCCGAAAGGGAAGTCAACCTCTTTATCCCCGGTTCTCAGTGATCGGCCCTCAAGCCGCGACCTCTGCAGCCCAGACCACAGGAGGCGATACCGACCGAAAAGAAAGATCATGTGAATCTTGTCGGCAGCGCAAAATAAAATGTGACAGAGGAAATCCATGCGGCCAATGCACATCATCGTTCCACGGTATGGGAGCTCTCTTCATGGCAAAAATGAAGTTCGAAACTGATCTGGTAAGATTGCCTTTACTCGAAGCCTACTAGAAGACAAAAGAAACACATGGCCTCTTCCAGTCGGTTGGCTTTTCTCGAGAACAGATTGAAGGAATTGGAATCATTGAGGCCATTGGCGCCGGCAACATCCTCAGCGGTCTCTACCCCCAAAGTAACAGTGCCCATCACGACGCACAATGGGAGTTTCGGTGAAACCAGCGTCTCTATATCAGATAACAACGCCACTTCTTCAAAGCTTGAAAGGTGTGGAACGGTATACCACAATATCGAGCAAGACGAAATCGAGTTCCAGGGTCATTCTTCAGATCGAACTTTCATTCAAGACCTTAAGGCAAAGGTAGACGACTGGCCTGGTTGTGACATAACACGTCACCAATCCCCTCCAAATATATCTTCGCCAGGATTCTTTGAGCTCAACAGCCAATTGTCCGATGAAGTTTCTTTGCCCAACAAGGAATTGGCAAGAAAATTGGTGGACACAGCTTTGGATGCGCAAATTTTGTCGCATGTCATACATCGACCAAGCTTCGACATTTCCTTTAATTTGATCTACGCCCTCGAGAAATTGGAATATGGCAGAAGAGAGGTGATGTTTCTCCCACTGCTTTATGCAGTAATCGCCTATGGCTGCTTGTTCGTTGAACCGGATCGGGGGAATGAACGTGGTGAGAATATGGCTTCACAAGGGTATTTTGCATCCAAAGTGCGAATAAATATGGAGTTTACCCGCCACTCACATCTATACAGGTCGAAATACTTTTCCATAAGCAGACAACTGCAGAATGTCGCGAATTGTCAAGATCTTATTTCACTTCAAGCTGTATTTTTCTTGAATCTCTTCCTTCTCACAACAAACCGAACTTCGACCTGCTATACATACCTCAGTACCTCCCTATCGATTGCTCTTCGAATGGGCCTCCATCGATCTCTCAAGGCCAACCAGGATTTAATCTCCCAAGAAATTAGCAAGAGAATATTTTGGGCATTATGGCAGCTTGTCAATGATGTCACCTCTTGCTGCGGACTGCCCAGGCTTTTGAATGACGACGAGATAGATCAAGAGCTTCCAAGGGAGGTAAACGACGTCTTCATCGCGAAAGGAGAAATATCGATGCAGCCAAAAGATGAGATCTGCTATATTTCTGGCGCAAATGCATCTTACCGACTTCACATAATTCGGGATAAGGTGACCAGGCACATTTATCCTTTCAGAAGCGTGAACACTGTCCCGTTGGATGATTCGATGGCCTACGGTGCCAATATTGACATTATATGCGAAATCGAAGAAGAACTCATAGAATGGGCGAAGAGCATACCCCGCGGGTATAGACTAGGCACATGGTACAGGGAATCAAAACTATTAAGGTAGAAGAGAAGACCTTCCAAGGGTATCTTTACAGCACCACTCATCACTAACGTTTTCCAGATCCCAATATATGCTCTGTACATCATATGCTCACGTCCATCTCTATCTGTATCGGTCGTCCCTACGCCATGCAATCAAAACACCTGAGCCCAAGTCTAGTCCCGGTCTGGACCTGTCCTCCCATGCTACCAGGTGCATCCAGAGTGCACAAAATATCATCTTGCTATTTGAAGACATGTGCAGACGAGGGCTTCTGAAAGGAGGGAACTGGTCAGCTGTGCGCATGCTGTGCAGTTCCATCACAACGCTCCTGTACATCATGCTTGCTTCTCGAGGCTCATACGAACCGAAGTCTTTGTTCAAGAGATTGGCCACTGGGAGGAAGATCTTGAATCATCTAGCAAAGCAAAGCCTTCCTGCCAGTCGGTGCAGAGTTTTGCTCGCGGTGAGATACAACCCCAACCATATCAGTCTATATCTATGCCTTATCTGCTAACCTTCCAAGAACATGATCTCAACTCTACCGAGAGATTTTCAAAGGATCCGCGATAGGCTACTTAATTTTGATTCCGAGGTACCGGATGTGTTGTTCAATGAAGGAATTGAAAACGATCCTCAGCTTGACAATTCATACACTACCTCTCTAGCAGAGAGTACTTTCGCAGTGAGGCCCAATCCTCACCCACGAAGCTCCAATTGTCTTCCGTTGATCGTCGGCGCGATGAAGCGATTGGATGGGAGTGCTCATGTACCAGGCCTCTCAAGTGACGAGCAGCAGAATCTCCACCAGGGAAAGACGCCATTCGCTACGGTAAAGCAAACCGCCGACTGGGCTGCAATCCAAGGCAAGACACGAATCGCAGATAGCGACATTCTTGGACGCCAACGTCGCCAGTCAACGAATCCGTGTGTCGACAATCGGGCTCAGATTGGCATGGAAGGCATTCAATCTTCGCACATTCCCAATGAGACTGTCGAGGAACATACTGACAAAGTTTGGGAGACTCAGCCCTCGGGCTTTCAACAGGATAATTCCACTGGGTCTTCGTCCGGGCTTGACATCGGCAACGCCTATCACTCAAGTGTGAACGGGGAACTGCTGGCGGGGGCGTTCCATATTGAAGGAATGGATATAGGAGGTATAGATGACTTCTTTGACTTTGAAAGCTGGTTCTAGACGACTCGCGGGGGAAGAATGCTATGAGAGCGGGATTCAGGCATTATTCTCGCTACATCTATTATACACATTTTTACTTTCCCTGGTTGCACGACACTAAAATGGCAGTACACTGGCGATCATCTACAGAATTTTTTTGTCTTTTTTGCAACCTGCCTATAGAATCCCTGTCACTGCCAAACCAAGTACATACGAGTATAGGGTTTGGAGAACAGCCACCCCTCCTCAGAATTGCAGCAGATTGAATTGAGGACCGGGATATAGAATCAGATTCTTAAAATAGTGACTTCTCGCCAAAGTGATTCCCGCGTTAATATCCGCTCTCAAACATGTCGGTTTAGCTGACCGCAAAGCTCTAACGTTACCCAGTGAGCGAGTTTGATGATTATGTAATACTCAGGGACGTGCTCAGTTGTACTCAGGGAGAAAAAAAGCGGCAAGGACTGAGCACTAAAGCGGACAGGGAAAGCCAAGAAGTGGGCAGAGGAAACCACCTTTGGGAAGGGGGTGGACCCGTGACACGGCTACATAGGTGCATATTCTTACTACCAGGTCACGTTTGATGGGGCAATTCAGAACCTGACGTCATATCAACAATGTAGCTCAACTCCTCTTCATCATTTCAACTTATCATATTTGAGTACGGGTAACAACAGTAATTCCCAGCTACTCCACATTTCCAACGGAGCCACTTTACTTTCAATTCTCTTCATCTTCACATGTATGCGAGGAGAAGAGAAACCTAGTTACTCACACCACCATATCCCACACATGAAAGATCCAACCAGACCTGAGTCAGGTGGTACAGAGCAAAAGAAGTCTTCCAGGCTACCAGGCCGTATCTAAGCGGTGTATCTACAGTACTCCGGGACTCCGGGCTTTGTAGTGGAGTTGTAGCCTGAACAACAACTACTTCAAGTCCAACATACCGCCTTGTCCAGGTGTCACCAAAGCTTGATATCATAGCAGAGCCTGTCCACAGAACCCGAAAAACTATCATGTTACCTTTTGGCCTTCGCCGCGGACGACTGGGTCGCAACCACATACCTCTAGAATCTCCAAACAACGTGACCAACAACTCCGACCCTGAAGAGGCCTCGGACGAAGATCTACCAGAGCCAGAACCTGAGATCTTCTACCCAAGTTTATGGGACGTTCTCAAAGTCCGATATCTACTGCAATGGAAGCTCGCAAACGGCCTCCCGGAGGAGTTAATCGACATGATCGTCGACGCAGCCGAGTACTGGGCCTCGGTGGAGCACAAGATGCAAGGGAAAAGGATTATCCAGAAAGACTGTGACCAAGTACTCTTAAAGACGGTACCGCTCTGCTATGATCGAAATGTATGTCTCCACCTCCCCCAACAAGTCAAATGAACTCATACTAACAAGGCCGCCCACCCAGAGCCTAGAAAAAGACACACCATCAAAACCCCTCCCCCACCGCGGCGCCCACCCCTGCCGCAAGATAATCTTCAAGCTCTCATCACACGACCAAGGCCGTGGCCGACGCCACGAGAACATGTACGAATTCTCATGGACATGGTTCGACACGGAAGTCATCCACGGCGCGCACGAGCGTAAGATGTATATCAATGGCGAAGAGCAAGAAATCCTCGACAACGAGCGTGGGCAGGAGCGGAAACACTATACGGAGGCTGATGCGCTGCTTCTTCCACGCGGCAATAAGCTGCAGGTTAATGGTGCTCATGTTGGGGAGATGCAGCATGTTGAGATTGTTTGGGATTATCGGGATGGGATTCAGCCTGAGTCGGCAGAGGCTGATGAGATTGAGATGAATCTGGGACGGGGGAGGCTTACGCTTCAGGGACGTGGGGTGCGTGAGTTGGAGGTTGGGGATTCTATTGCTCTTTGGGCTAGAGCGAGGTTTCCGGGTTGGTCTAATCATGTTGAAAGGGCTTGTGTGAGGGTTTTTTGGGCTGTTTGAGCTGTAGAGATGATGCACATGATGCTTATACAGACGATTGAATATCCAACAAAGAAGATATTAACTGATAGTCATAGTCAAGTTGAGGTTATAGTTAGGTCAACATGAAGTTGCTATATTGTGGCCTTGTTCTTGAGGCCAATATTGAGCACGCAATTTCGCCAAGGCCACCCGATCACCAAACAGTCGCAGTATAAGATCAAATAGCGCCCTCGAGATGCTTTCTTTCTTGTTTCCTCTTATTCTCCTCTAGATGTCATGTCAGTCGCCATGCCACTTATACTAACCCTCACGCACATCCCATGATGTATTATTCATCACCGCTTCTTCGAGTCGCACCTGGGACGGCACATGGAACGACGCATCCGACAGCCCGACAAGAGCAGTGGGGCCTAGAGTTCCCTCGACTATGGCTCTCGGCCGGTTAAGCACAGTGGCCGATAATAAGCTTGCGACTACAATGACGGAGTAACTAACAGTACACTTGGGCAGACCGTCCCGAGCTGCGCAATGCTATGGGGTCATTGTTTATTGGGGACCTTGGACTGGACAACGAGAATGGTCATTCCCGTCTTAGCGACGACCCGACTGGATGCTGGTTGCGTTATCTGCACCGCTGATGATGACCGAGAAGCCTGACGCATTCTTTGCGGAAGGGCCGTTCACCGTTCTTGGCTGTTCACCCCTTCCCCCTCATCGCCGATTGAGTCGGCGATCCATTTCAATCGGCGATCCATTATTCTATTTAGATCGAATGAACGTTGTTTACCCATTTCACTCGCTACAAGCTTGACTTTCTTTTCTCTTTCTGATATTCAATCTCTGATCTCTCATCCCTCAATATGACATCTCGAAAATGCGCCGCGGTGGTCGTGGGAGCTGGTCCGGCCGGCGTCGCTGTTGTCGGAAACCTGCTGGAACGCCAACTAGGCACGATAGCATGGATCGACCCATACTTCGAAGGCGGCAGAGTCAATAAGAACTATCGCGAAGTCCCTAGGTTGGTATCAGACTACCAGGACACACCGCAAAGGGTACTAACAAGCCAACCTCCAGCAACACCAAGGTGTCTCTATTCCAAGCCTACGCAACCGCAACCCAGCCCTTCCAAAAGGCAATCGAGAACACCAGCCTACCAAATGCCTTCTCAGCCCTAGCAAAGCTAGACCAAGACAAGACCTGCCATCTCCACTACGCAGCCGACATGGTCCGCGGCCTAACAGACGGCCTCAAGAAAATGGACGAAGTATACGCCTGCCGCGGCTTCGTCTCAGCAGCAAACCTAAGCGAAGGATCCGGCAGCCCAACCTGGACAATCCGCATAACACAACAAGACTCACCAACCGAACTACATATCGAAACAGCCCGCCTAATCCTCTGCACAGGCTCCCACCCAACAACAGTGCCCCTCCCAATCCAAGACCCATCCCTCCAGCGTCTGGACCTAGACCTGGTACTGAAACCAAGCGCCCTGGCCAAAACCCTCCGCCAGGATATCCCCCTCACAACAGCCGTCGTCGGCGCCTCTCACAGCGCAATCCTGGCCCTCCTAAACTTAATCAACCTCCACAATACATCCCACCCAAACCTCCGCGTGAAATGGTTCACCCGCCACCCGCTCCGCTACGCGGAATACAAAGACGGCTGGATCCTCCGCGATAACACGGGGTTAAAGGGGATGGCAGCTGAGTTCGCGCGCACCCAACTCGAAGATGATAAGCTTGCGACCTCGCCTGCCGGCAAAGTCGTTACCAAGGTCGATTGTGCGGGCGGGCGTGAAGCTGAAGGGGATATGTATCGCCGTCATTTGCCTGGTTGTGATTATATTGTTCAGGCTGTGGGGTATACTCGTGATCCGTTGCCGCAGTTGGCGAAGGATGGGATGCCGCTTGCTATTGAGTTTGATCATGGGAATGGCCGGTTCCATCAGACTGGTGGGGCGGATGTTCCGGGTTTGTTTGGGGCTGGTATTGCTTTCCCTGAGAGAGTTGTTGACCCGCTTGGGAATGTCGAGTATGCCGTCGGGTTCTTTAAGTTTATGAAGTTTTTGAAGAGGGTTGTACCGACGTGGTGATTTTTTGTTTGCATTTGTGGACTAGCACTCCTCACTTCCTTGTGCAAGCCTATGTCTCTTTGATAGGCTATGATTCAGCGTCTGGTATTAATACCTGTGGTGTCTGGTGGCGTTTTTCGGGTTTGCTTGGTCGTTTCTAGACTGCAACGCAGTCTGCGATGGAGATCATTCTTACATCTATCCGCCCTTGTGGTCTTTACTTTCTAGTTCTATCCGTAGAAACGAAACAGAAATAGATACGCTGCAACATCTCTTCACTTCAACATAAGATACTGTAAATATCTATAGAATGTTTGGTGGAGCCTACTCATCGGGCTCCCACGCCAGGACCCTTTTCTTCATGTCTTCCAGTTTCTGCTGCGTAAGGGATTCCATTAACCTTTCTCATTTTTTTCAAGCAGCTCAGTTCTCTTTTCCCATACATCCTCCGGCTTTCCAGCGGGCTCAAAAGCAATGATCAAGCTTCTGCCAGATAGTTGCACCCAAAGCAAAATTCTTCGGTGCTGCATAACTGACCCACGAAGCCCATAGGAAAGTTGACTCGCGGAATGGCTTACAAGATAGAAGTGAGTGTGTCCGGGACTCTTATAGTGTTGGAACGGTGGATAGCTGCAGATACGTGGCTTATGTTTGTTCTAACACAGACCAGAGTTGCGTAGCACAAATATTATCACAGAATTGTAACCGGAAGGAGGAGTATCAAAGGAAAGGACACATACAGAGTACATTATTCGCTGAAGTTGGAGTATATTTGATAAGATGGGAGGTTCATTCCGCCAGTCATTCTCTGTGCTAGTTACAGAATATGTATTCAGCAGCCATCGTGCTATCAGTCACGCACGCCCAGGTATAATTATTGAGGTCCGTTATGATCCCGGCTCCAGTATAGATTTTGCACTCTTTCTTCCGTATCTCCGATTTGATGTCCTCTGCTATGTCAATAAGGTCGCCTTTTTTATCTGCCACCTTGCATTTCGTATCGCCAAGCATTAAGGGTACCGGTTTCAATGTCGTATAATCATCATGATAGAGGCATGACAGTATCTCACGAGTTCTGCCACTCGGATAACATGTTCGATTTTTAACATCGCACACATGGATGTGGATCTGCTCTTCAGTCCTTGACGCCATTGAGTTCATAGCCAGTGCTTGTGTACTCCTATTGTAGTGTCCCTGCGCAAAACGCCAGCCCTCATCCGCATGAAGGTCGATATCTTGCAGTCTTTCAATCCCGGACACGGGCTGCGTTGTGGTAATCAGGCGCTGGTTTTCAAGCAGCATCCAAACTAGGTTGTTTGCTTTGAGAGCAGTATTGTTCTTGCAGTTGGTGCTCTGGGAGTATAGCAACTTCTGTATGCATGAACATAGGTTTTGGAACCAGATATAGCAGGAATTGCATGAGGCATTATCGTCAAGATAGCATGGCCAAAGAGCGTGTGGAGTATTTAGACCGCTTTTTGCATAGACCTTTCTGTCGGGATTTGGACATTGGTATCCCAAAGTTGTACAATTAGTTTTGCCGCTCATGCAATTGCAATCCTTCGTGACTGTCATTGACCAAATCTGATTTGCATTGCAATTGCTGACGTCGGAATTTGGATCACCAAGGACAGCTTGGTTCACGTGTTGTGCTAGTCCTGGTAGCACGGAGATCAGAAGCGGAATTAACTTCATGTTCGCAAATTGTCGAATTGACAGTTCGTATGGTACATTGTGCACAAATGAAATAATCAAGCCATACGTTTCTTGAACCAGGTTTATATACTGACATGAGTAGCAGAGCAGGCTACGCCAATATGATGCGTTCATCAGCTGTAATGGTTCATCCATCTTTGACTTCCGCCCCATATGGCTATTGCTCAGTGTTATGGATGAATTAAGCATAGTACACGCAGACCTCCTCCCGACCACAAAACTAGAAAATTCAAAGTCAACCCGGGTCATCCACCAATAGCAAAACCGGAAACGAGAAGTATACGATGCTAGTTGAAATGATTCTAGACCATGGAAGTTGCGCGACGTGGCAAAGCCGACATGGGACAAAAAGTATCATGATATAGAGCTTCCACTAATGGCTAAATGTGATATAAGGATGTATTAATATGTAATGAACGAGCTCTAGAACGAGCGCTAAAAAAATTGGACTAAGCTACGCTAACTTTATAAAGTTCAGTCCTTTTTGATTGGCAGTAAATGGCAAGATTATAATCTGGACTGGTCTCACTTAAGATCTATCCCAAAAATGAAAGCAACACGGAACTATGCAAGAATATGTATTTCGAAAACCGACTAATACGGTTCAGCGAATTACAAGCTTTCTGTTTTATCAAGAGAAGAATAAAGGGAATTCGGATGTTCCAGCATAGGCCAGACTCCAGCAGTGTTCATCTGAGACTATGACTGAATTCTACGTGCGACGAACCAATGCATGAGAAAAGCGACCCAGACTGGGTGATGATTCAGGCGCGACAAGCACTTAGAGCCGTCATTGTGTGAAGCAAGAGGCGCAGATGACTCGTATTGATTTCCGTTTGCAGACCGGATGCTACGGAGAAGAAAGACATTGTCATGCACCGTGAGAGTCAGAACAAGGGCGACTCCGACTTCTATGACTCTAATGATTCCACTGGTGGTAGGTCGCTGAATTCATCACCTATTACCGAACAACGTTGGCAACTGAGACCGCGAAATCGGGCTGTCGTTCGAGGGAGAATCAACGGCGACGAAAGCGGCGGAGAGTAGTCATCCGACCACCACAATGCGTGTCCAGCATATAGAGCTTAGGTGATTGTATTGCACTATATCCCGAGGTTAGGTCTATCAGTTAATTGTCAGTCACTTTTAAGCGCTTTTCCAAAATTTCACCGGTCCTCTCCTGGGGGGAAAACATCTATTGTCTACCGGGGCTGCGGATCGGAGGGGATGGCCGGTCTTACTGTAGAGTCACTCAAATGATTGCGCTCGTACTTAGGCTTAACTTCTATATTGGGGCATGTTGTAAGT